CGAAGTGCTTGAGAACGTAAGGCAGGAGCGGATGAATACCTAGAGAAGGAAAGGTCTCGCGAACCTGCCGAGGCAGCGAGGGGAAGTCCCCGGGCGAAAGCCCGTGCTCAAAGCAGGCCGACGGGAAGACGCGACCGTCTTCTTCCGAGGAGCGCCGACAAACGGACCAGTCCCGATGGGCCACGGCAATGCCGTGAAGGCGCATCAGCGTCGCCGCGGACTTCTGAAGGGCCACCCGGGGCTTCGTGTACGCGTACGGACGCGGATACACGTAGAGCCCCGGGATCTCGGCCAAGATAAAACGGGGCGGAATGTCCGGGTTGAATCCGGACAAGTAGGCCTCCATACGATCGACGTATAGAACCTCTTCCAGGCCAAACGCGAAGGTGCGATCACCCTGTATCGGGTCGGGGATTTGGTAAGCCACGCCGTCTCTTTCGGCAAGAAGACGGCTGAGGGCCAGCGCGGATTGATCAGCGAGGCCGGCCTCGCTGATCTTGCGGATGCGGGACAGGTCAGGGCGCAAGACCGGGCTCGCCAAGATCTCGCCAACCGTTACGCCCACGCGAGCGTAGCGCGCCCACGGATACCGGAGATCACCGAGTGGCAGTGGAGTAGATCGCAAAAGCGGTACGCCAAACCAGCGCGTCGTGCTGGGGACATCGAACTCGGCCGCTCTCGTGCTGGAGCCAACAAGGGACGGGACATCAGCTTGAGAAGATCCCCCAGCGGCGGGGCCGACAGCCCTCTCAGCACCAACGGGGCGAGGGGCTCGCGACCCGCCGTCATGCTGCTCGTCGACGACGCGACTAGGGGCACTCGCCAACTCCTCGGATAGCGTGGACTCCCTCGACGGGCGTGTCCTCTGAAAGGGGGAGGTTGGCGTCGGCGTTGCAACACACCCGTCGATAAGGGGCGCGCTCGAAGCAGGAAGCGACGGCGCTTCCCCAGCGGCTTCTCGAGCCGACACAGCGACGCCCGCCAGCGGCGGCGAGGACGGCGTCAGCGTTGGTGATGGTGACATGCCGAGACAGTGTCCCAATCTCGAGGGTCGACAAAGGTGCCAAGTGCGCGCCCGATGGCCGCACGCGAGACAGAAACCGGCGAAAAGGAAGGCGTGATCGGAAGGAACGCGGGGGAGCAGCGAGACTCTGGACGCAATGGGACTACACGGGTGGCCTCCTCAAGCAGGGTGAACGCGGACGTTCACTCTTGAGGAGGGGGCCCTGTGGTATATGCGCCTTCGATTCGATTAGGTTTAGATCAGGGGCTGTAAGGCACGAACCTTACAGCCCACACGAGCCCCCACGCGCCCACATGTGTACCACACGTGTGCAGGGCGTGCGCACACACACGTGGCACACACGTGTACTGTCAGCTCGATAGCTGACAGAGCCACCGCGCGCGACGACTCGCGCCGGCTACGGTAGCATGATACTGTAGTCTGGTATGATAACCGAACACTTGTACATTAAATAAGGGAGGGACCGACGGCGGAGGAAAGGGATAAGCAGGGGCTTGTCCACGACCTTCCGCCTTGGTCGACAACGCACCGCTTAACCTAAAACACGAGTCCGCTCTCGCGTCTCGTTTAGGTAAGGGAACCGACGCGGGGTGCAGGCGCTACAGTGCGCGCGCGTGCAGCGATCCGCCTCCGCCCGTCGACACTGGTCCGCTACCCAGTGTCGCTCCGGGGCGTTGAGGCGTCGATCCGCTCCGCTGCGCAATCACTCGCGCCTGCCACCCTTCCCGCTCTACCACGCTACCAGGACCCGTGTCCTTTCCCTTTGCGTGTGTTCCGTCTTCCGCCGATCCGGAGTCTGCTACTGAACTGCGTGCATACACCCCCGCCGTTTGGGGGTGTTTATGCTACACGGCTGAGCTTCTGCTTGAGGAGAACAGTGCTCAAGTACATTATCAAGAATACTGTTTGCTTCCCTCACGAATCTAGGGTACAGGTCTGCATCGACTGTGTCGATAGAGAGTGTCACTGGCCCAAATGGTGAGGAATATTTCCACGTCGACAAGCCTACGTCAGATGAGGCGTCCCATCCGTCTTCGCCCTCTACAGAAGCACATGACGTAAGGCTTGCTTCTACAGCTTCGTCATTATTCAAATCGGTATCGTTGACGTTAACCAGCTCTGACTCACAATCCGTGAAAAGACATGAAAGTAGTCCTGAATCACGTTTTTCTGGCCATAGAACTGATTAGTCGGTACTGTTTTTCGCTTGTGAGTAGAGGGAGACTGCAGAGAAATAATTTCGGTTTGCTCCACGCGCATGTTCACGGATAGGTTCATTTCGGTAGAGTCTTCTTCCGATTCTGAAGGGGAATTTAGCTGAACTTCTTGGGAAAACGGCATGTCGTCAGAAGACAAGGAGTCTTCATCGATGGGGTTGTAGTAAAGAGGATCTGAGGGATTTTCGTCCCGATCTGAACTAGAAATTCGACCAATGATGTCGACGACATCATTGGTGTGGGCGCTGTCGTCATCCGGGCTTAGGAATACAGAACCGAGGTCTTGGATGGTTGCTCTCCCCGTACCGGGATCTGCATTATGACCATTGTGCCGGGGAAATGGCCTCTGTCCATTTCAGGATTGTTACAGATCGCGACGCCGTCGAGGCTGTCGTCTGCGGAGAGTGAAATCCGCCATCGATCTGAAGATGGCATTGCTTGAGGGAAATGACGGGGTAAAGGAAATTGGAAAGGTACGGGAGATTGTGGAGGAGAGGAAATGGTAGAGGAGAAAAGATGTTGGAGGAAAGGAGATGGTGGAGAACGTTCTATTTTGGTGCGACGTCTACCGAGTGTCAGGAGAAATTCTCCAGGAGAGTGGAGAGATGTCTCTCATCAGTTGTTTTCTTTTCTCCGAAAGTAGATGGTAGAATCTACTTTTCCAAAAAAATGTTCACATTTTAAGAAGAGAACCAAATTGTTCTCCACAGCAGCACAGGGCTACCTGGCCGTTTTTCTCTCCCGTTGGAGAAAGGCAGACGGCGGACTTTGGCTGTCCCCGTGCGGGACCGCTAAGGTCTACCCTTCTCGAACCAAAGTAATGTTTCCGTCGTCCTCTATCGTTCTGCACAGCTTCATTTCAGGCTGATCATTAGCTCCGTCATCCTCTACTTTCTCCCCTCCCCTTCGCCATTTCTTTCCCTTCCTCTCCACCCCGTTCTTATTTCACTGCCCTCATTCCCTCCCTTGTTCACCTGCACTTGCCATCCGTCCCCCCGTGATCCGTCTTGATTTATGTGCACCCGGACTCCCCGACGCTCCATCCATATTGCTTTTGCTGCCTGTCCTGCCGTCCCGTCTGCGTTACATCGTGGTTACTGCGCGTCCCTCCTCACAGTGCTGGCCACCATCTCCCATTCTTACTACGTTTCCATTCCAGATCTTTCTCCATTGCTATGCCCTCTATCTGGTCTCTACGTCTTTGGGGCGTAGTAACCCTTCGCATTTATCGAAGGATCCTCCGGTTTTTCGGTTGCTAATGCGTTGACGTTGTGCGCACGGTTTGCCTGTCTACGTTTTGGTCATGCAGACCTAAGAGAAGACGCATTTCTATTGTTTCCGAGAAAGAAAACGTGACCCCAAACACATGTGAGTAGTTTAACATGTAATAAAAGAATTGTGATGGCAATACTGCACTTTCGATTAGATACAGACTGTCTACTTGCATCAATGGCTGTGATCGTACAATGCGACACTCATGAGAAGCTTCTCGGCCAATAACGAGAACAATGCAAAAGCTCGTCCCACGAGAAGACACAATGGATAGGGCTTGGTAAGTTTCGCGAATAAACGGATGTGCACAGTGGCTGTGCTGGCGTTTGGTAGCACCAGAGAGGCTCCAGTAATGCAAAACGCATCTTCTGGGCCTCTTCCACCGGAACCGCATACATGGATTCCATGGAAGAAACTGGAAATAAACTATTCCGAATAGTTTATTTCCAGTTTCTTCCTAAAATATTGGACGTTTTGGACTCTGAAAGGCGGTGACGAGAGCTATCTTCAAGGAGCCATATCTTGAGTTGTAATACTTACTTTTAAGCCGCCTCCATTTCAAGTGTTAGATTGCAGTCCGCTCTTCCGTTTACCGTGGTCGAAAAACTCATCAGACGACTAGGTTGGGTTGCCACCGGGCAGAGAGTGTCGTGATCATTTTTGAAATTGTTGCTATTCCATGTCCTAAATTGAGGGTTAACTGCAACTCTCGTGGTCCCCAGACCTGGTTCACCTACAATACAGGGGGGGTCGCGATATAGTGCCATCTTTGTTAGTGTCAGCTCATGTAGTGCTACACTCCCGCGGGTGGCACGAATTTTGAGCCAAAAACAAAGCGTCTCCAGAGAGGCAGTTGGATGGACGTACGGCCCGAGAGCCGGTGCCGCCGCGGAAAGATATTACGCAGTTGCTAACTCGAATAGACTATGGCGTAAAAAGGCATGGTCGACGATGCAATTGGACATCTGCAAAAGTGTAGGCTGGCATTTATGGCTACGAAAAAGGAAGAAGTCAATGCGAAAGCTCGGCAGTTACTAATAACATAGTCTGTAGTGAAGAGGCCAAGTACTTCACATTATGAGTGATGGCGTCCTGCGAGCGGTCTTTCTGAGCAGTGATGCAAGGAAGTGGCTGCAAAAAGCCGTAAATCTCATTATCTTACAGTGCCTGGTTCGATATAGTGCTTTTTTCGGCCCACTGAGTCAGTGATATAGTGCTACCCTACGTCAGTGCCACCGACATAGGGTACAGTGCACGAAAAAAACTAAAGAGCACCCCCAAATGGTGAATGCATTGGGGTGCCCAAAGTTCCATTCAAATGGAAAAACTGCTCAAAAGCATTGATTCTATGTTGCATATAAAAGAGCAAAACTTCGCATTGATCCCTTTATTATTTTGAAATCTATCTCTACTTCGGCTACTGTAGAGGGTGTAAGAACTATAGAGCATTGAAACGAAAAGCGCACCAACGGAAGGATTACAAGTGGCTAGTAAGATTTCTTACCGCCGCCAGCTTCGATGACATCTAAGCAGCGCTTGTGCATGCTCTTCACAAGCCCATACAGATACTTACGGTCCAATTTCGACCATTCTTCAAGAACTGCAGATTTTAGATCGTCAACTGTGTTATATTGACGACAACCAGCGTAGACAGCCCGCGCGAGCACTCCCCAAACGTTCTCAATGGGATTGAGGTCGGGACTTTGCGCGGGCCAGCTCATTAAGTTAATATTGTTAGCAATAAACCATGCCTCCGTTACCTTAGACCTATGGATAGAGGCATTATCCAGCTGAAATACCCATCCATTGCCGTGCATTCTTTCTGCAAAAGGCAGCAAATAGTTAGTAAGCGTCGTAGTGCACTTGGTAGAGTTCTGCATACCAGCATTTATCGCTAAATTTGAAGTACCAAGTTCAGAAAATGCCCGCCATATCATTAAGAGCCACTTCCCATCTGTCGACGAGACAAAACCTTTCCCTCCTTTGGCAAGTCGTGCCAGTAGTAGGACAGCCCGTCAGGACCATCGAGATTGAATTTCTTTTCGTTTGAAAAGATGACCTGTCCCCATTTCTGCATGTTCCATCCTGCTCTTTCCTTTGCCCACTTTACACGCACTGTTCTATGCCTTGGAGTCAATTGAGGCGCTATTTTTGCCGTCTGATACTGTAGGAGAGGGCTCGTTGATAAAATCTGCTGTGCCCTGCGCTTAGAAACCGGCAATTCTAGCTCCCTTCTTAATGTTTCAGCGCTTTTTTCCCCCTTCGAGGCCTCACGCAGAAGCCGACGAGACTCTGCAGGGGTCATTTTGGGCGGACGCCCACCGGCGTGCTTTTCGTTGTACACCTGTGGTACTTTTAAAAAGGTTTGGATGGCTTTGCGGGACTTCTTCACCCGTCGTGCAATTTCTTTTTGAGAAACATTTTCATTGTGCAAGGCAAGGACTTGACCTTGTTGAAAAGGGGCCAATTTTTTCCCTTTTGGCATTTTGTGGTTGCGTTGGGTCTTATTTGTGTCTCGTCTATGTCGAGAAGGAGGAAAAGAGCAATTCTAATGGCAACAAAAGTTCTTTATATCCTATTTCTATGTAACGGGCTTGTGCTCAATAGATTTTGCCCCCTCTACAGTAGCCGAAGTGATCGTATTTTTCGAAATAATTAAGGGTTCGATGTGAAAGTTCGTTACTTTATATGATTTGCAAAATAACGGTCTGGGGGAAGTTTTTTGTTTTGAACGGAACATTTTTCGGTCAGGTATCCACGGATCACTATGTAATGACCTACGCCGCGTGATGCCTGCGCGCCTACTCTTGGACACGGGTGCACGCTGTACACGTGGAAAAGAGGACGGCTTGGCTGGGCAGTGCATTCTCTTGCCGTCGGCGCGCAGGAGGCGAACTGGAAGAGCCCGTCATCCGCTTCTCTGAGAGAAGCTATTCCCCGTGCAGCCCGCTCGGAGGTTCGACGCACTGCCTAGGCCGATCACGTCGGCTAGGAATGTCAGGAGAAGTACCGCCACCGGTCCCGCCGAGCGAAGAGCGCGCCGGCCCGTCGGCGCCGCCTGCCTTAGACGCGGCCGCGGCCACTGCGGCCGCGATTAGCGATATCGTCGCACGAAAGATCCACGAAGCCCTCGCCAATCAGGCTAATGATAACCCAGCTCCAGTCCTCCCCGGCCCGCCGCCTGCCCCCGAAAACACCGGCGCCACTGGGGCCGACACCACTGCCGTCACCGCCGCCGTCGAGAATCCCCGTGCGGCTGGCCCTCCGACCGCCAATCTCGCCGCCCAAGCCGCGGCACGAGCTGGAGGGGCCGCCGCTTCACTCCCCGCAGCTGAGGGCCAAGAGCAGGAACCTCCAGAGGACCCTGAAAACGAAGACCCGGACTCCGACGATCCGAACGAGGCTCTCTACGGTCCCCAGGCCTTCACTCCGAAGTGGTACGAGGCTCGCCGGGGTGCCGTCGTCCGTCCACGCTTCGAAGTCCCCGCGCGCTTCGAACCGAGCTACCCAGTTGGCTTTGAGCCAGAGAGCGTCGCACACTTCAAGACTTTTTGCGCACCCGGGACCAGCACCGGGAGAACGAAGGAGGCCGCCGGCCTCTACGCGTCCGCTGCGTACCACACACACGCCTCCAACACGCCCAGCCAGGCTGCCGAGGACCTCATCGAGTCAGTCGAGAAGATCCCCGACGACGCCGACCCCGAAGCAGTCCGTACAATCCGCCAGGCCATCGTATCGGTATCCGACGCCCAGCTCTGCACCTTTGGAGTATACGAATTGGCCGCGTCCCGCTACGAGGTACTCGCCGGCAAACAGGGGGCCACCGGGGTCGCTGATCCGGAGGTTTTGTTAGCTTACATTGACGCCCCCGCCGCGTACAGTTCCGCAGGCCGCCAGGCCTTCCGTCGACAGCAGGTGCAGGCAATCAAGTACGCCACCCAGCTCGCCGGCCGGAACAGGCGGAGGAGTCCGGCGGAAGCTGTTCAGCAGTTCTGGCAACCGGACGCCACCCCCAGAGGGAACCGCAGTAGCAGTCGCGGGGGAGGAAAAGGAACCGGGGGAGGCAACCGGGGCCGAGGACGCAAATAAGAATGGTCCCACCTTCCGTGGGTGTGGGCCTGGCATGGAGGAATTGGAAGGAGATCGGCGCGAGCGACTGGTTGGTGAGACAGTTGCGATTCGGACTGCAGCTCCCATGGGTACAGGAGGTCCCTTAACAGCGCCCGAGATCATACCCGATGGACGTAGGAGAGCGCGGGTTCGCTTCGAAGGAGATAGCGAGATGGCTCGCGCTCGGTTTCGCACGGCGGGCAACCCCGGAGGAGGGTCGCGACCTGAAGCGCAGAGGGCAGCTGTTTCCAGCTTTCGTGACGGAGTCGGCAGGCAAGAGGCGGCTAGTGATCGACTACAAGAGGGCGAACGAGTGCATGGAATAGAGAACATTCCGGATGGACCAGCTGTCAGACTTGGCGGCAGTACTGCGTCCCGGGGACTGTCTGTTCAAGGCCGACGTGAAAGACGCCTACTACCACCTCCGTTTGAGGCGCGTGGACCATGAGCGCTTGGCATTCCTGATTGGGGACGACGTATTCGTCCCGCTCTGCATGAACTGCGGCCTCGCAGTCGCACCGTGGTTCTACACAAAGGCGATGAAGCCCGTCGTCTCGTTCATAAGCTCGCTGGGACACCGCATCTTCTCGTACCTCGACGACTTCTTCGGCGCCGCCAAGCCGTCGAGGGGCTCAGCCGCAGGAAGGAAGGACACCGAGCAACTGGGTTCGCTGACGCGGGCGCTGTTCCGCAAGCTCGGACTACGGCTACACCCCGACAAATGCTTCTTCATGGGGGAGACGCGCTTGGAGGTACTCGGCATCGTCGTGGATACGTCCGCTCAGAAGTTCATGCTGTCCCCCGGCAAGCTCGCGAAGGTGGAGCTCGCCGCCCGGCGCGTTCTTCAATACGCATCCTCGCACCGACGCTGCGTCCGGGCTCGTATGCTGCGCGGATTCGCAGGACTGGCGAACTCCGTCTCGCCGGCCGTGGTGGATGCTCGACTCCGACTCCGGGAGTTGTTCTCGGCCCTCAGCGCCCCGGAGAGACCAGGGCTCGCACCGGGGATAGCAGGGGAGGCCGAGTAAGGGGTTATCATACCTCCCTCAAAACGTTTGCTCCCCAGGCCACTCCGTGGGGCCCCTTGCGGAGCGCACAAATTTTCTCCTTCCGCGGATCCGACTCGCGACTCGCGCCTCTCCCATGACGCCATCCGCGACCTTCAGTGGTGGGCAAGCTTGAGCCGGAACGTACACGTGGGGAGGCACCTCTGGCCCGCCCCCGAAGTTTGCGTCTTCACAGACGCGAGTATGGCGGGCTGGGGAGCAGCATGGAACGGGCAGGTGCCGGCGGCAGGATTCTTCACGGCGGACGAGGAAGGGGCTCATATCAACGAACTAGAGCTTACCGCCGCACTCAACGCCTTAGAGCAGTTCGTCGAGTTTGCTCGTGGCCGGCAGGTGCAGCTCGTAACCGACTCGCTCGTCACCGCCTAAATCGTCCGGAACATGACAAGCCGCTCGCCGCGCCTTCACGCCAGGCTCCGACGCCTGCGGCGTTTGTGCGAACTTCATGGCGTGACACTGTCGACGCGCCACCTCCCGTCCGTGTTGAACTGTTGGGCAGACCGACTCTCGCGCCGGCGCGACAGCTTTGCATGAGAACTTCCGCGGGACGCCCAACTGCTCCTCGAGCGCCGCTTCCGTTCGCGCCTCTCTGTGCTCGACGGCAATTCGCTCCCAGAGTCGCGCAGATCGCCAGGGATCCCCGTCGTCGTAACCCGTCCCGCATTGCTCGGCGTTTGGGCGCGCGCACTCGCTACCACCGGTCGAGGATTCATGATCGCTCCCGCGTGGACGGGGCAGCAGTGGTATCAAACAGCTCGCGCCGCGGCGAGCGTCCACCGAATACCGTGCCTGACCCCGCCGTGGAGTTCTGTCGCCTTCAGGTTCAAGCATCGGAACGTTGGCGTACACAGGGGACGATAGGCGCCGGCAGTTTATTCGGGGATTTAGCTGGGTCCCGCGTAGCTGCGCACCTACTTGGGAGAACATTATCACGAAGTACCGAGGGTGGTTACCAACGGCACTGGGAGTCCTTCGTTCTGTATTGTTAGCGCTGTGCCCAGCCCGCGCACCCTGCTGCGCCACGAACTATCTCCTGTTACATTGGAACGATCTACGATCGCAGCACAGTGCGAGGTAGTTCTTGGCGTCCCTACATCGCAGCAATCGGAGCGCAGCACCGCCGACTGGGTCTGACAGACCCCACCGCTCATCCGCTCGTTCAGGCTACGCGACGCGGGTTCATAGTACAGGACGCCCACCGAACTACCGGTCCGCCCTCTCGGTCTGCCCCACTCCCTGCAGCACTCGCCGCTCAAGCCCTATACCGAGCCCTTACTGCCGCCTCAATCCACGAACTGCAGCGTTGGGGATTAGTCGCCTTGGGTTTCGTCATTTGCGGTCAACCTACCAGTATCCGCAATTTACGCCGTAGTGACATTCAGCTCATCAACCCTGCAGCGGTAACACTCCAGTTGTTGGTCTTCAAGTATGGAGAGACTGGAGCAGCGCCACGTGTGGCACTCCGCATACCCTCCACAGGGATAAGCGACCCTGTTATTGTGCTACTGCGGAGATTGGTCGCCGCAGCACCGCGCGATGACTCGTTTCTATTCCCGAGCGGCGGGCCTCTACCATCGGAACCGGCTTCCGCCTCTTCAATATCAGCTACATTACGGGAACTGACCCACAATACCCGACCGCCTGCCGGAACGAAGTTCACACCTCGATCCCTGCGAAGTGGGGGCATCTCAGCCGCCTATGCGGCCGGTGTTCTGCTCCCCGTCGTCATGCGTTTGGCAAATCACCACACTGAAGCTGTGGTGCACCGCCATTACCTTGACGCTCTTACTCGAGTCACACCTGCTGCACGGTTGTTTTTTGCGCGCTTCACGCGCAATGCTGGGCATCCGTCCAGTCTCGCGTAATTGGCAACCACAGCGCAGGGGTCATGATTACGGTCAGGTATCCACGGATCACTATGTAATGTTATGATACATCCAGAAATGAACCTCCCTGACGGTTCAGTTCTGAAAGGACCTCGTGTTCACTGACGTAGGCTGACATACAACCCCAAAATAAATGTCACGCCTTTCCGTACTACAATTTTAAACATCTGAAAATTTTACTACGGCAAATGATCCAATCGTACTGTATTCAAATCGGTCGTCGCCGTCGGCGCCGCCGCCACTATCGCCAAATTAGATATAAAATCCAATCCCTCGTACCCTAAACCACATCTGTCGCCGCCGCCAACGACGCCGCCGTCGGCAAATTAAGTCGACATTGTCACTGCACAGTATTATAAATCGCGCACCCCCTGACTGCTCTCACACCCCCTACCCCCCACATGATCTCCACGATTGCGCAC